CCGGTGCTGCGTCCGCGTTGTGTTGCGCGCGGTGGTACAAATGTCATGTTTTATACATTCCAGGAATTCACACATTGCTTTACTTTTTCTGTTACTTGTTCTATATAAAAATCTCCTATCTCTAATGACGCCTACGTCAGGAATGCATAAAATGTCGTTGTCAACTGAATCTACTTGGTTCTAATGGCTCATTGGAACTGTGTTTGACTATCACGCAACGACGTTAAGCACCGAAAGTAGTCATGAAAATCTCGGATAACTTGCATTTCCTAATTTAGAAATCAATTTAAAAACATTTGACAACATCAAGATCTTAGCATTTTATTAATGGTCTCCGTTATTTACGAGCTTATATGCGCCTAAATCAAATTTTATCATAATGCAGGCCTGTCGATAAAGGCGATTACAAGACTTCTTTTTACAAAGGCACAGTTTTTTCTTCTAGCTGTGGTAATAAAAGATTAATTTCCACAAACCAGGTGTAAACAGCCTGGCCTTAAACTGCTTGAGCGAACCCCTGTCCAAAAAGTTTCGTTTTTCCCTTTCTCTACACCAAGCGGCTTCTCACTGAGCTTAATTGAATGCTTTATAGTAAGCCGTTATCGGGACGTGACGCTAATGGATGCCAATATCAGTGACCTACAGGCAAGGCTAGAAGTGGCTGAAAGACTCTTGGTGGAACAACTCCCAAATGTCGCCCGTGAAGGTGACTTACTATTTTACTCCTTTGTTTGATGAAAACTAACTTTGGATGTGAACTTTCGTATCGCTCCTCTTAAACCCTTTTAGAGCCCAATATCGTTTCTGCTTTTATAATTTTATAATCTCTGATGTGTCTTTCTAAATGCCTATTCAAGTACGAGAGAAATTGGGCCGTCCAGATCTTTGCATTTGAGGATTTCCTTATAAATTCCGCTTTCTGTTGTGTTACATATTTATTTTAAATTTTTTATGATTCTGTGTTCCATTCATTCGACTCTTGCTTTTTACCAGCGTGGTTTTTTTGTAATCCGAGACTTGTTCTTTGAACATGATTTGTATTAGCTGATCTCCGTTTATTTCAGTGAACTGAATGCTGTCCTTTAATCCGAATACTTCAAAACGTGAGCGATGTTTCGGAAGCTAGCGGCCATTGATATTGTTAAATCATCCTCCATTGCATCTTAAGTTAGTATAGTTGTTTTCATTCATATAACGAGAGTCTTTATTAGCTCAAAC